AGATTGTCACTTCAAAAATAATAAATCAACACAAACTATTTTTACATGAAAAAACCACAATTGGAACACCTCCAATTATGATTAAAAAATCACGGGCGAAACGCCACAAATCAATCCACTATAAAAGGAAGAAAGAATACAAATTTACCAAACAAATTACCCAAGCGCTGTCAATTTTTCTTCAACAATCTGTATCTCTTTCACCGCAACCTTCGTCTCGAAATTGATCAGATTGATGTTGAATCCACAACATCCATTGTCAAATCAACGACTGAACACAACATCAAACTCTTTCGAATGCTCCACGCTTGAATCTCTGGATTCCACCGAAGATGAACACTCTTGAGGATAAACAATCAAACTATTTGATGTATGCTTGTCAAACCATGAGTTTAATACTCAATCAAACATCAAAGAAAACTAGCAAAATAGCCTCAGAAGAAAACCCTAAAACCCTCAAAGAAGATCTGGAAGCTGTAACCTAAAACTAGAAAGAACAGTAGCTTAAATAGCGAATAGATCCGCGATCTCCGCTCAAGCGAAGGGCTTGCCGCTCAAGCGATGTCACTGAAACTCGTGCGGCTAAACAAGGTCTACGCTCAAGCATTGGAACTTACACTCGAGTGTAAAAACACACCTCCCAGTAGTTTTGCAGACATGCCAAACTTCTGAGAGTGTGCAAAATCCGCTCGAGCGCAATTTTACCCGCTCGAGCGGGAAGACCAAAAACAAAGGAAAACTTACAACTCAATTAAGCAAGTTTGTTCGTGGAATTGACAACAAATAGGGACCTAACACTTTTTTCCAAACACCGCCATCCACAATGTCAACAATAATTTTCAAATTGATTGTATTTCTTGGAATTTCTATTATCAGTTGTTTGAGAAGACAAATTTTAAATTGTAATGAGTTTTGCAGAAGTAGTAAAAGAAATAGTTCCAAATGCTCCTTGTCTACGATGAACTCCTGCTTGGATGAAAAAAAACTGAACAAAATCTACTTAGATTCTCATTGATAATAATCTTTGGGTGTTTAAATAATTGTTCTTGGGTCTTTTAAAGTAGATTGTTCTTGCAGTATACACGTCGAGAGGCAAGAACTGAGTTTAGAAGAGAGATGAATGAAAGGGAGAGAAAGGGATGGTGATCAATAAGAAGTCAAGAAAGAAAGAAAGAAAGAAATATATATATATATACGTATTTTTCTTTATCTTTTATTATTTTTTAATAAAAATAAAATAAATATTTTATAAATGAATAAGCCGGGCTAAAACTAGGGCATCTTCAACTAGTTTATCCCAAGTCTAGCCTAAAAATTAATTAAACTAAAAATTTAAATATTTTTCTTAATCGAGTTGGGCTTAGCCCATCTGACCCATGGCCACCCCTAGTGTTACCCTTTTTGTAATACATTTTCTGTAAGAGAAAATTTAAGATCTTGCTAATGATAGCCCCAAAAGATATCAATAAAGAACATAAAACATCATAATATTTATAATTTTAATATACTTTTCACATATTCATAATACTTATATATATATATATTTATATGACCAGTTTGTTGGTATTGTTTGGGCTCATGTCGCCCACCACAAGTACTACAATTTGCACGATTTATTTTTTAGACCACAATTTATTAATCATTCATAAAAAAATCAAATCAATTTAATAACTATAACTATATTAATTTATGATATTTATTTAAAAATAAATAAATAAATATTATTTAAAAACTAGACCACTTTATTTAATTTCAAGATGTGGATTCTAATTACTTTCTACAGGCACCCGACTCTTTTGCGGAAAATAATGTGTTGCGGTGTTTTTTTTTTTTGGTTACAGGAAAATCCTCCCCACCCTCCTGCAAGTCTTAAGGCAACGCCTCTCGCAGGGATCACTAAGATGTCATGTTGTCCGTTCTGAGCAAGAAATAATAACCTAAGAACTTGTACCGATTTCCTAAAACAAATTCTGCTTAAGTCAAGACTCGCACAATGAGAGAATATCAAACCCATACCAAGTACTATGATAACAACAACTTGAGACTTAACTTCCTAACTAACTGCATTATGAATAAAAAATTGGCCAAAAAAATTTCAAACTTAAATCTGAAATCTTAATCCTCAGGACATTACCAAGTGCGCTACTGCCTTGAATTGGTCAACCCAAAACATCCAGTTTCACATAGCACTTTCTCCTTGTAGTTTTATATGATTAAAAATCATTGACTTGACTTGAGACTCGGGTGTAGCTACCAGATAAACACTGACCATTGCTCTCTTGACCCCAGATATACAAAGACCAATGCCCAAGTGTATACGCCAGGGTTAGTGTCCAATTCGGACAGGTTTTATTTGATTGTGTTTGGTTAAGAAATTTGAAAAGAAATTTAATAAAAAAAAAAAGAAAAAAATATGTGAAATTAAGTGAAATATAAGTATATTTTATTTACATTTCACATATCTTTTTCTTTTCCTTTTTCAAATTCATTTTCAAATCCTCTAACCAAACACAGCGTAAGAGATTGTTTAACTTAACTCGAATTATACGCCAGAGTCAGTGTGCAATTCAAGCAGGTTCCATTAGATTGAGAGATTGTTTAACTTAACGAATAATGTTATATACATCAATTGGTGTACTAACTAGTGTACTAACAGATAATGGGCCATAATTTTAGAAGTTTTGAGTATTTGTAATTTATATAATAAGTGGGGTCAGTAATAATGTTATCATACTTGTCGGTGTACTAGTTGGTAAACTAATTGGTACACGTTGCACAACCGTTAACTTGACTCAAATTATGTTGAGAGTTGTTCAAGCTTATTCATAACTCAAACAAATCTTTTTATATGTTCCATGTTAGTAGTTTTTGAGAATTTTTTTCACCTTTTCAAGTACAACTCAATGCACAACACAATAAATTAATTTGTGTTAAATTCGAGTAACCTGAGCTAGACTTAAATTTTTGAAATAAATTCAGAGTTCAGGTTTGGGTAAGGGAATTTGTAATAAAGGTCGGACTCCAACTAGACTAGAGCAAATCCATCTACACTTTGGACCGGGCTTGTACAAACCTTTATTTCGACAAATTTGCCTAGCACAATGAAGAAAAACACTTTAACCGAAATTCACATATAACAAAATACAAAATGCCCTATCTGCAATAGAACATTCATATAGTGTACTAGCTGCTTTAACTATTAGCACAGTTTTAAGGATGCTTTTATTCCCAAAAAAACATCAGAATTGAGTGGAGATAAGTCCAGTTGAGTAGAATATTGTAATAAAAGGCAACAATTTGCAGAGCACTTCCCCAAAGTTAGTGATCGAATGGAAGAGAAATGGAAACTCTTAACATTCTACACAAAAACTGCTTTCAAAAAAATTCAAATTGCTATTGAGAAGAATTGAACTAGGAACCATGTGTAAAATGCGTATGCATGTGCTGAAGCCACAATGCCAAAACACTTCTTATTATGACATATGCTCTTCTTTTTACTTATTCCACTGTACATCTGAACAAAAGGACCAGTGGAAAAATGTGTATATAATTTAGAGCCTTGAACTACCCATTAGTTCATCAAAGGGTAAAACAATGGGACTCTTAGAGAAACAACTCTGCCTTGCTATTGAGCATATTGAACCAGGAACCATGTGTAAAATATGCATGTGCTGAAGTATGCTCTTCTTTTTACTCATTCTACTGTACATCTGAACAAAAAGACTTCCATTTTTGAAGTATACTATGAAAATAGACCAGTGGAAAAATGTGTATATAAATTAGACCCTTGAACTACCCATTAGTTCATCAAAGGGAAAAACAATGGGACTGTTAGAGAAACAACTCTGCCTTGCTATTTAGAAGTATTGAACCAGGAACCATGTGTAAAATATGCATGTGCTGAAGTATGCTCTTCTTTTTACTTATTCTATTGTACATCTGAACAAAAAGACTTCCATTTTTAAAGTCTACTATCAAAATAGACCAGTGGAAAAATGTGTATATAAATTAGACCCTTGAACTACCCACTAGTTCATCAAAGGGAAAAACAATGGGACTGTTAGAGAAACAACTCTGCCTTGTTTCCTTACTCCTGTTTGTTACACTATTTTCTTCCACCATTGATATTACTTCTGCTTCTGTTAAAGAAGCTAATGCTCTCATCACATGGAAAGCCACCCTGCAAAGCACAAACCATTCCCTACTAACTTCATGGGTCCTTCCACCTCATGATAACATCTCAACAAGTGCCACCCCATGCCTTTGGTTTGGAGTTACTTGCAACTTCGATGGAAGCGTCAATAGGTTGAACCTCACAAATTCAAGTCTAAATGGTACGCTTGACAACTTTACATTTTCATCGTTTCCCAATCTTGCATATATCGATCTCAGCATGAATAACCTCTTTGGTGTCATCCCACCTCTAATTGGCTCCCTCTCCAAACTCATCTATCTTGATTTGTCCACCAACCAGTTCTCGGGAAACATTCCACCAAAAATCGGCCTGTTGACAAATCTTGATACTCTCTACCTAGTCGAAAATCAATTGAATGGCTCAATTCCTCAAGAGATAGGCCAGCTAAAGTCTCTTACTGAGCTTGCTTTGTACGCCAATAGTCTTTCATGGACCTATTCCTGCTTCTTTAGGAAATTTGAGAAACTTGACTCTTTTGTATCTCTATGACAATCACCTATCCGGTTCCATTCCACAAGAGATAGGAAAGTTGAAATCACTCCAGAACCTAAGCTTTGAAACCAACAATCTTACTGGCTTAATTCCAACATCTTTTGGTGATTTGAGCTCCCTAATACTCCTACATCTTTGGAATAATCAACTCTTTGGTTCAATTCCTAAAGAACTAGGAAATTTGACGTTCCTCAATGATCTGGGATTGAGCGAAAATCAACTCAGTGGTCCTATTCCTGCTTCATTAGGCAATTTATCTAGGTTAGAATTTCTTTTCCTTCGTTCCAACCAACTTTCCGGTCCCATTCCACATGAATTTGGCAATTTGAAAAACTTGCTTATGATAGAAATGGATCACAACCAGTTTTCTGGCAATCTCCCAGAGCTTTGCCAAGGTGGAAAACTTACATACTTCATTGTGAACCACAACCAGCTCACAGGTACAATTCCCCAAAGTTTGAAAAACTGTTCAAGCTTAGTTAGAGTTCGCTTTGATGAAAACCAATTCATTGGAAATATATCCGAAGATTTGGGTGCTTATCCAAACCTGGTCTACATAGATTTGAGTTACAACAATTTTTCTGGTGAATTATCAGAAATTTGGGGAAGGTTTCCAAATTTGACAGTCCTAAGCTTAGCGAGGAACAACATCATCGGTAGCATTCCACCGGGGCTTGGAAATTCAATACAACTACATCGACTTGATCTGTCTTCAAATCGTTTAGTTGGGGAGATTCCAAAGGAATTCGGGAAGTTGACTTCTCTGGAGAAGTTGCTTTTATTTGATAACCTACTTTCAGGTAGTATACCTCAAGAACTAGAATCACTAACTGGGCTTTCATATCTGGATATGTCCACAAATAGATTCAATGGGTCAATACCGGGTATTCTGGAGAATTATCTGAATCTGTTTCACTTGAACTTGAGCAACAACATGTTTAGCCAGAGAATTCCATTTCAGATGGGTAAGTTATTTCACCTTACCGAAATGGATTTGAGTAATAATTTTCTTATAGGAGAAATACCATCGGAACTCACAAATTTGCAGAGCTTGGAGAAGTTGAACCTCTCCCACAATAATCTCTCTGGTCTCATTCCAAAGGGTTTTGAAGATATGAATGGCTTGGCATTTGTTGATATATCATACAATCAGTTGCAAGGTCCTATTCCCATGAGCAGCGCCTTCATAAATGCATCAATAGAAGCACTGCAAGGGAACAAAGGTTTGTGTGGAAATGTCAAAGGCCTGCAGCCTTGCGAAATGCCTTCTACATTGCCCAAACACACTCTAGCAAAGAGGACACTTGTTCTTATAATCGTGCTCCCTCTTGGCGGAGCACTTTTACTTCTAGGCGCATTCACTGGACTTCTCATTGTCTTCGATCCAAGAAAGAGAAAGTCCCAACCCCCGAATGAAGATCTGTTATCGATATCAATATTTGATGGAAGAGCAATGTACAATGACATTGTGAAAGCTACCAAGGATTTCGATGCCACATATTGCGTTGGAAAGGGAAGATATGGAACTGTCTACAAGGCGAAGCTACCATCAGCTAATATAGTAGCTGTGAAGAAACTTCATTCATTATCTGAGAAGGCTGACAGGAGAGGTTTCTTAAATGAGGTAAAGGCATTGACAGAAATTAGGCATCGAAACATAGTGAAGCTTCTCGGGTTCTGTGAGCATACTCAACACTCTTTTCTAGTTTATGAGTACCTCGAAAGGGGTAGCTTGGCTGCAATTTTCAACAGAGATGAAGAAGCTAAGGAATTGGATTGGCCTAAACGGGTCAATATTATTAAGGGTATTGCAAGCGCTTTGTCATACATGCACCATGATTGCACACCACCAATTGTTCACCGAGACATTTCTAGCAATAATGTTTTGATTGATGAGGAGTACGAGTCTCGTATTTCAGACTTTGGCACCGCCAAGCTTTTGAAGCTAGATTCCTCCAACTGGAGTGCACTTGCAGGCACGTACGGATATGTTGCACCAGGTAAACACAGTTTCATGCTCTCGTAAATTGATGTAGAATCTAAAATGTAAGAAAACAAGTGCTTGATCATGTGTGTGTGTGTGTTTTGTGTGCAGAGCTTGCTTACACAATGAAGGTAACTGAAAAGTGTGATGTTTATAGCTTTGGAGTGTTGGCATTGGAGGTGATCAAAGGAAAGCATCCGGGAGACTTCATCACCTCTCTGTCGACCTCAGCCATCGAGAACATAGAGCTAAAGGATGTGTTGGACCAACGCCTTTCACCTCCCTCCCCTGAAGTTGAGAAGGTAGTGATGTGTTGTGTAAAATTGGCAATTGCATGTTTGCATGTCAATCCACAATCTAGGCCATCCATGTACATTGTTTCTCAATTGTTATCCACCCGAAAAATTCCGTAGAGCCTCACCGATGTGCACAGAATTGCTGCCCATGAAAATGCACAGAATTGATCCGTGCACTAATTTTGTGCACTAAAATGCAGCCGAACCACGCACATATGGTGTGGCTTCTCTCTTTATTGTCACCTTATTTATTTTATTTTGTGTTGCTTTTATTTTTATTTTTCTTGAATATATATGCCTACCTTGTATCACCAAAAATTGTTGGCTTCTTTTATGTTGATTTGAAAGAGCAATGTTGCTGGGATGCTATTTTCCATTGAATAATTACATATGAATTACCAAAATGGTTCAAATTTGATGTTGTGATGAGTTTGTGGCGCTGATTCTGTTTTTATTAGTTTTTGTTTTGTTTTGTTTTGGATGGTGAATCTAAATCTCAGTTTTTAAACAAATTTTAACAAATTGCATTTTTAAAAAAATGATATATACGCTAGTTTCTAGATTAATTTTTTAGACCCAATGATTTTGTAATGATATGATTGGTTGATAATTAGAGAAAATATGAGAGAGAGTATTGCCTTTAATATCTTAATTAATTGTCGTATTGTTGTACTTAAAATTAAGTTCAATTTTTTATCTTAAATAGCAATGCTCTTAATATAAAGATTGAAGATTGTAATAAGATTATTAGAAACTGCAATAGCAATACACAAGTATTCTTATTCTTATATCATCTCTTAAAAGGAAATTTGATATTCTTCTTTTCTATTTATAAGGGATCTCAAAAATCTGGATACCATTTATTCAACAAGTATAAATTACCCATCTATAAAAACTGTAAATTTAATAATCTCAAATCTTTTTTAAGTAGGTATAACCAAATGATAATTTCAAACATGTAGAGATATATAACAAGAATATTATTTCCTTTGTTTGGTTTTGATTTCCATAATTCACTTTTCAGAAAATTCTATTTTTTTATTTTTTTGTATTTTTTTGTTTTTACTAAATTTTTAGATATACCTAACATAAATATACTTAAAAAGTATAATATTTGTAAAAAAAAATTACTAAATATCAAAAATACAAAAAAAAATGATAATTCAATATATTTTTCGTATTTTGTGTATTTATTAATTTTTTAAAATATTTTTTCTCAAATATTTTACTTTTAAGATATATCTAAATAAGATGCATCTACAAAAGTAAAAAAAAATTACTTAAAATTTTAAAAATATTCACTAAAAACAAAAAACAAAAAACTTAATTTTTAAAAAATTGAATTCAAAAAATTAAAATCAAACACACTGATTGTTATTACCTGACTATGAGGTTGAGTTTTGAACGTGGTTTGGGCAATTTCATTCATCAAAATGACCTCATCGTCATAATAAATTAGTGAGCTTCTCTTGCAGCGTGGTAGTTTTTTGGGCACACATTCTGCAAATGTTACAAACATTTGGAGAGGATCCAAATGCATAAATTGATAACTTTCATAAATTATTTTTTGTGTGTTAATGTGATATTTATTATATTATTATAATTAATTTTATTTTAAATATTTGAATTTTATCATTAAATGTTTAGGAGTAAAAAAAAAAATGCTTTGTTTTGATTTTAAAGATATGGTAAACTAAATATATTGGTGAGAAATATAAATTATTTTTTTAATTTATTTTATTTTTACCTATGTACCTTTTTTTTATATATCTCTACATTTCTTCTCTATTCTCATACGTTAATATCAATTATCCCCCATCACCGCTGCAAAAGGCGACGAAAAGTTGTCAAAAAATTGCCAGTGTTGGAAAAGTCACTGACAATCCGTGGCAACCACAAACAGACATAGATAGGTGAACATATAGACAAATAAATATGAGTAATATAATTTTTCAAATTATTATTCTTCTTATAGACAAAAAAGAATAAAATTCGGAATAATTGTCCCAAAAGTTTCAAATTTGGACTAATAGCCCCATTGCCTTAAAATGTAAACAAAAATTGCACAGAACATTTAGTACAAACCTTAAAATAAAAAATTTTTTTTATTATTTTAAAAAAAAAATCATTATAAGCATCATAAATTGCACCAAACAAGACATATATGGAGGTCAAATACTCAAATATGGGATACACAAGAAGATGGGGTTTGTATAGAGTTTGAGTAGCTATACAACCTGCAGAGAGTAGAATAATTATGCATAAAATAATGGGATGGTTATTTATCTTTTAGTATCATAACCGAGTTCTGTTTATGTTTTGATGATCGATCAAATTCGTATAATAGTAAAGAGCTCGTGGTATTAAGTTAAAACTAATCAACTGGAATGGAATATATTATAGATTCTGTTGACTAACTAATCTCAATTTTTATGGCGACCAAGTGATCACTAATGGGGTTCAATATAATTTTTTTTTTTTTTTTTTTTTTTGTGCGCGCGCGCCCAAGTGGTAAGTAGGATATTAATTACAAATATAAAAATATATATATCAAACTGGTCAATTAGAGTCCAACAATACATAGCTAGAAATTGATCAACTATCAAGCCCAATAATCACTATAAGAAACAGCCAAAACTTAAAAAGAAATAAACTACGTGCAACTCTCATAATAGGAGAGAAAATATAATCAATCTTTGTCTCAATGGTCTAGTAATCACACCTTAAGGTGCGGTAAGTGAGAGGTCAGGATTTCGAACTGATGGAGCAGCGACAAATCTTTTAGTTGTAATTTAACTGTACTAACATACGAACGCTATCTTTGACCCAAAACAAAAATATTAGAATTGACCCCCTTGATGTCATGAATAGAAGTATACAAAAGTGGCCAATTGAGCTATCACACAATTAGTTAAAATTCTTCAACCAATTTGTACCAAAAAAATAAATATTATAGTTCCACTTTTTTTGGTAACTTTTTATTTATTTTTATAAAGTGAATACCTAGTGTGTTTGACTTTTTTTTTAATGACTTTTTTGCAATTTTTTTAGTTTATTGACTTTTTAGCCAAAAAAATTAGGATAAATTACAACAGTCGTCCTTATAGTTTATCCTTTGTGTCAATTTAATCCATCTACTTTAAATTGCATTAATTGGATTAATTACACTTTTCACCCTTATAGTTTGATCTAAAATTTTACGTTACTCCCTATAGTTTCAATTTGAACAATTTGATCCCTTCACTTAAATCTAATTTCAATCGAGTCTTTCCGTCTAAATTGAAAATTAAAATTCACAATTTTTGGACACTTGTCACTTTAAGTCTAGTTTCAATTTGGTCCTTTCATCTAAATTGAAAGTTAAAATTAACAATTGTAGAATACTTGTCAATTTTCTAAGGTTTATACGTTAACAAAATTAACAAAAATTTAAACGGAAAAACCAAATTAAAACTAGACTTCAAGTGTATGGATCAAATTGTTCAAATTGAAACTATTGGCACTAAAATAAAATTTGAGTCAAACTACAGAAGTGAAAACTACAATTAACCTGCATTAATTTTACCCTTGAACTTTGGTTGTTGCTTGTAAGTAGCGTAATTGCTAATTGGTTGCATTTTTTTACCCTGGATTTGTTCTTCTAAGTTCTTCACAACAATTCCACACCTTTGCATATTGTTCTTGATGACTGCATCTGTGCTTTCCTCTTGGCTCTATAAAGTTGACTCTTCAACACCCCAACTTTGTGAGCCATCTGCTCAACTCCTTTATCATAGTAGGATTAACTATCAATGAAACATAGAAGTTAAAAGTACATAATTTAAAAACTTGATAAAAGATAGTTTTAATCTTTAAAGTACGAATTCATTGTCATTTTAGTCCCTTAATTTTCATTTTAATTTTATCATTTTGGTTCTCAAAAGTTGTCAATTTGAATTAGATTGGTCCAATTCCAAACGGTTGTTTAAATCGTTAGTGAAATAATTATAAATTTCAACTAGGGTCGCTAAAGTATATGTTGTGTCATTTTAGTCCCTCAAGTGTCAATTTTGCCAATTTCATCCTTCAATATTGCAAGGTTATATTTCATTTTCTTCATCAATGTTTCAAAACCAAATTGAAAAAATTAAAAACTTTACGGATGTGTATTTTATTACCATTCCATTAACTATTTAGACGGTCCGTTTAGAATTAGACCAAATTTACTCAAATCTAAAATTGTAAGGACGAAATTGACAAAATTAAAACTTGAAGGACCAAAGTGACAAGAAATGCATACTACTATAAATGTATTTCATCCTTAAAATGATTGGACAAACTATGAAAAAGAATTTAGTTTTCACAACCAGTCTCAGGAACAAGCCCTTGCCTGCAAAGAAAAAATGAAAGTGCAGGAAGAGTTAGCAAGTTACTTTTTTTTGAACGGAGAGTTAGCGAGTAACTTGATCACCCTTATTATATAAAAAAACATTGCTTGGGGTTCAAATGTCAATTTTTATCATGGAAAATGCTAATCATATTCATTTATGAAACATCACAAGAATAATGTGACAATATTATTTTGATAAATAAATGCCATTTATGCTGGTGTTTTGTTTTAAGGTATATGGTTTACATTGAGCCACATCATCAAAATTATATATAGAAATTATTTATGAATTTTTTGTTTGTATATCATTACTCTTCGAGCATAAATGTTTTTAATGATATGAAAAAGCGTCTATAAATTGTAAGTTTTAGCGACAATTCATAAAAATTTAGACAAAAACAAATGTTACTAATTGTCAAGTTTTAGCAGCATATGCAAAAAATCGTCACAAAAAATTATTTTTAGAGACGATTTTACTGTGACTAACTTTGAATATGACTTAATGAGAATTAAATCCAACTATTAGAACCTATTGGTAGTTTACCCAACTCATCTTCCTTATTTTTTGAGATAACAAATTATTAATTAAATATTTAAATTTTATTTTTTTAATATATTTAGGGGTCTAATTGATATTTGGAAATAACTTAGGAGAGAAAATAAAATTTTGATGTCACGTTAGCAAATTCCGTCTGATTTAGGCAGAAGCTAAAGATAGAGGTCGAATTGATCTAGAATTGAATAGTTTAGATGTAAAATTAATATAATTAAAAGGACATTAGTTAAATTGATTATTAAGTGATAGTTTGAAAAGCAAAATGAAATGTGTTTAAAGCTTCAACAAAAGCCCCAAAAAAAAAGTGTTTAAAGTAGTTATTTCTAGATTTCCACACAAGCTCTTTTTCTTCTATTTTTCAGTATAATATTAGGTCTGTTCAACATTCATGTAGCTAGATTCTTTCCAAAAAATTCCCAAAGCTAAGGATCAAAGATAAGAGGATTAGTTTTTCTTCACTAATTAAGACACAAAGAACTTAA